CTTTCTGATGTGCTTGTTTTAAATCAGATACTTAGTGTAAGGGTGAACATGCAAGAGATTTATATATATCATTTGAGCTGAAAGTGTAAGAGTGTACATTTTGGCCAACAGTAACGGCCTCCTTTCCACCCAGGAAGGTCTAATTACAAAAGAAGAATAAATTAGTGAACGGACCATTTGATTTTGGAACTCCTCCTCATACAGGAGTGGGAATCATGCAACCCTTCTAATGTTATTGCAGCACAACTCCTGGCATTCCTTACCATTAGCTGATGAGAATTGCAAACAATATTTTCAGGGCTCAATGATTCCTACCTGTTATATTTGCCTGTCAGCCCTCAAGAAAACCAACCCCTATCCCTATCCTTTGCAAAAGCCTCTCCAAAAGGCCAACTGAACCTGCCTAACAGTGTGGACTGCATCCTATGCAAATTTGATGAGAAAGAAGAATAGCTTGAAGTCATTCAGAGGACTCCAGTTTTGCTTGCACAAGGATCTTGATTTGGGGTGATCCCTCCTCCCACTACAACTTTGCAACACCAAGTTTGACAGGTGCCCTTACCATTTGGAGATGGATTTCTTGAAAGCACAGAGGGCTGCATTAGGAAGGTTGGAAAGGAAAAGCTCCATAGCATCAGGTAACTTTTTGCCTTCATAATACTGGATTTCAGTCACAATGGCAAGCAGAATCTGCTGCTTGATTGTTTTAATGGATTTTAAGATTTTATTGACATTTAATTTATAGTTTGAAGACCTTTTTGAAAAGCTGATTACACCGTGGTCATTTCTGTTACACCTCTTGAAACACTGGGAGGGATAACCCATTATAGAACTTGAAAGAACATCACTACAGACTCCAATTGTTGTGCCCCATATATCAGCAAGTTGTAATAATTTACATGAGAGGTAGGCAGAGTACAGCCCATTGGTTGCATGTAGTCCCCCAGGGCTCGTTCTGTGGCCCAGGGCTCGTTCTGTGGCCCCCAGTCAATTCTACCTCCCACACTTTTTTTTGTTTTTAGTTCAAGAATGCCCTAAAAGGCATTCTGGGGGATACTAAAGGCACTTCCACATTTGGAGACTTCATGAGCCCCCTAGGGGCCAAAAACAAGGTTTGCAAAAAACAAACAAACAAACAAACAAACAAAACAAAACCCTCCCCTAAATGCTCCAAAATGTCCACTGAGGGACTTGGAGCAATATACTTGAACTCCTGGTCCCTCTCATAAAACAGATTGAAATAACAGAGGTAGGGGATTTGTAGACATCTACAGAATCTGGATGATAGAAATCAGTGGAGAAAGCACAGAGTTTCAAAGCCTCTTGATAGAGCGCATTGCTTCTTCAGACTCTCCATTAAATTTGTTAGATGCATAAAGAATCTCTCTCTCTCTCTCTCTCTCTCTCTCTCACACACACACACACACACACACACACAAGACAAAAAGACTGAACAATTATGTCAACATTGTATTGATGGAGGCTCAAAAAAGTAAATATATTTATGAAATGAATCATCCACCCTATATCAGAGTTACATTTGTAATTTGACAAATGCTGATTTTTGTATTGTAATCACTCAGTGCACTTTACATGTAATCAGATGAAGCTATAATATTTTCAGGACAAGGAAATTTGTCTTTGAAACTGTGAACAGGTATGCTTATAAACAGAAATAGCCAAAGATCACACCAGTCTCTTAACCCCCCACCCCCCATTTAATGCTATTTTTACTATTGCTCTCAAGACTTGTGTTACACTGGTAAATCTCAGTTAACAAAGCAGACACATTTCTGAGCATTCCTTCTTTGGCAGAAAATTGGGTACCAGTGGCAAAAATAACAGAAAGAATAGGGATAGAGTTCTACACCACAAACTAGAAAAACAGTTCACAATGTTTTAGCAAACCTTTTATTCAGAACTGATAATATGCACATGTGAAATGAAACAACCAGGTCAGGTAAACCCTGCATAATTTACACAAAAACAATTGTACCTCCTAGAGACCACTTGAGGCTTCTTCTGAAATGCAACAAGAGATGACTTCTTCTTGCAGCAGCCTTTACTTTTCTTATGAATTCTGTTTTTGTGTCTAAACTTCTACATCTATGCTTTTAAAATATGCTAAGAGTAGTGCGCGAGGCAGGCTTACCCGTTCTCTCCCTTTGCTGTTCATACATGCTGCTGTTTTGCTGTTCATACATGCTTAGTAAAGCATTCTGGAGACAGCCGCTGTTTACTTTGCTTGTATTAGGAAGGCACACACAGTAGGATGGGCTAGAGTAAAATCTATTCTTTCCTTGTTCAAGCTTTACTGCATTGTTCACTGTCACTACCATTCTCCCAGTGCCAATGAAGCTAAAAACACCCAGCTAGACAGAGGACAAAGAGGAAAAGGGGACTTAGAAATGAAAAAGAAATGTTTAAAGGAGCTTCACTGTTAGAGGCTTTGTCAACTGAGGTTTGCTTGCAACTACCTTTTTGCTGCAAATTCTAATAGAACATGGGGACACTGAAGCAAGAGAAAAACTGCACCTGAAAGTATCTACCACTTTCTAGACTCATTTCAGTATTTGGGATTGTAGTGTTCTTTAATAAGCTCTATCTTAAAATCCAATATGCTAGGATTTTGATGCTTTCAAATTATGCATTTCAAGGCTGGTTAATATGCTGTTCTTTTGGAGATGGAGACGTAACTGAGGCATAGAACATAAAACCCATGTTGAAATAAGGTTAATATAGAGTATCTTTTGGCTAAGATAAACATTAACACCAAAATCAGGATAATTTATTCCACAGGATTTCAGATTTCTACATATAGGTATAAAAGCTAGACAGTGAAAACTGACAGAAAAAAAACCCCTCTTGAAATGTTATTGCATAGTTTTATATAGTGGGGGGGGGGGGAATTGCACATGTACTATGAACCAACCAAGTCAGGAAAACCTTACATAAGCACACAAACACCTTTTTAACTTTCTAAAGATTACTTAAGCTTCTTCTAAAATACATCCAGGGATGATTTTACTATATTTACAATCTCCAATTTCTTTATGATTTTCATTTTTTTTGGGGGGGGGGGGGAACTTATAGAAACATGCTTTAAAAAACACACACACAGTGAGGCTATCTGGTAAGTCATGCTTATCTGCCCTTTCCTCTCTGTTTTGCTGTTCACACGTGGGATTCTAGAAGCAGCTGTTGCTCACCTTTCCTGTTGTAGGCAGGGTAACACAGCTATGGCACGATCAACTAAAATAGAATCCTACTCTTTCTCAGCTGAAGCTTGATTGCTTTATTTACAGTAGATACTGCTACAAATTGACACCGAATCTATTTATCCAGCCCTCCCTCAGCATATTCTTAATGCCAATGTTGCTAAAAAGACTTCTACCTGGAGAGAAAGCAAGGAGGAAAAGGGGGACTGTGGGGGGTTGCAGACTGCCAGAAATAGTGCAAATTGAGTCCACTTTTAGGGTTAGGGTTAGTGCTAGGGAGTCATGGGAATTGTTTTTTTCCTGAGACACTGAGCATTCTCTGTCAGAGAGCTCTGGTGCCACAATAAATTACAGTTCCCATGATTCCCTAACTCTTAAAGTGGACTCAATTTGCACTATTTCTGACTTCTTCTCCAGGCTAAACATACCCAGCTTCCTAAGCCACTTCTTATAGAGAATGGTTTCTAGTCCTATCCTGACATCTCATGACATCCTGGGAAAGAATAATGCTAATGAAAGCAGTAGGAAAAAAGAAGAGCACGGTGCAAATAGATTGATTGTCTCAGGGCCTTTGCAGACTGCCAGAAATAGTACAAATTGAGTCCACT